AACACTGCCCACAGCACTGTGCTGCCTGGGGTGAACTCTAAGCGTCACGTCCCGCCCTTCACCTTTCCCTGCCACTGTGAAGTGCTTCTGTGCTCTGCAGTGTTACCACCCAGCAGGCCTGAGGGCCAAAGCCTCCCTTGACTAGCAAACAGCAAAATGCAACTTGAGCTATGTCTTGTAAATGCCCAGGATACAGAAAGGCAAAATCAAAGGAAGCAACCAACACGCACAATCATAACTAAGGGCTCCCCCAAGGAACAACAAAAGAAGGCAGCTTTATAGCTGGAGCCAATCAAGGATGTTATGCACACTACTTTCATGTCTAGGAAAGCTCACTTCTTACACCTCTCATTTGGAGCTGCCAATTCATGAGTAACTGTTGCCTTCAATGAACTCTTTATAGCCCCACCGTGCCTCCATGCATCGTCCAGCACCCTGGAGATCATATGAGGCATCTATTACCTGTGTGCTGTCCCTCTGCCCTCAAGGATAACTCTCTGAGAGCAGGGACCTTGTCTTTCTTTACTGTGATTGTCTCTTTCTCTGCTTGCTGACCTTTCTGTCTGGCACATTAGCACGGGTGCTTCAAAGATGTTTGGTCAGTGTGTAAATGAACAGATGGTTCAGATCTACCTTCCCATCAAGTTCTTAATAGGCACTTCTCAAATTCCTCTCACATCAATGAAAGCAGAAACAGTGTGCCACAGTGACTAACACGTCCCTGCCTCAAGGTTTGTTCCTGCCATTTGGGCTGCTCTTTCTTCAACGCCGAATTGAAATTCTCATTGGAAGGTCATGAAGGCACTTGACAAAGAGTGGGGCTTCAGAACCCAGCATGGGAGTCCAGCTCTTCCCATGCCTACCAGTAGAGCCCTGGGCAAGTCACAGAAAATCCCAGAAGATGGGAGTGGAGCGGAGAGATGGCTCAGCTGGTGAAGTGCTTACCTTGTAAGTATGAGGACCCAAGTTCAATCCCCAGAACACACATGAAAAGCCAAGCATGGCATTATGCACTTGGACTTGCAACACTGGGGAGGTCAAGGCAGGTGGATCCTTGGGGCTCACTGGCCAGCCCGCCTGGCCTGATCAGCAAGCCCTAAGCCTCATTGACAGACTCTGTGGTAGACAAGGCTTGAGGAACAGCACCCAAAGTTTATTTCTGTCCTCCATAAGCAAACACAAGTGCACACAGGCACATATGCACAACTAAGGACAAAGGGGGAAAAACATAAGCTTGATTGCTTCACTCCAAAATGGGGCTAAGATGCTGCCCTGCACAGGGCTGGCTAGCTTGCTTGTGTGTGTTTAGATAAGATTAAATAAGACAGCTGGGAAAGACTTACAAACCTCTCTTCTAGTCTTCAAAGCTTTCGTGATTCAAACAGACATATAACATCTTATTCCTCTGTCAATTTTAAAAAAAAATCAGAGGGAGGTATACCAAAGAGTGATGGCATGTATTGGTCCTGTAACTGCCCACCATTGAGCATGGGATAAACACTCAGGTAGAGACAGCAGATGTACGTATACATGTGAATGATAAAAACTCCCCAGTCCAGAGGTCAGGACTGGCTGACTTTCCAGAGACAGCTTGGAAGAAGACCCAGCATCCAGGCCCACAGCACAGGAGTGCTTTTACTGAAGCTAGGGGCATGATCCAGTTGAAAAGGTGCTTGCAGTGCATCTGAGATCAGATCCCCAAACCGTGTTAAAAAGCTGGAGGTGTGTGTCTGCAATCCCCACATTGAGGAGGCAGAGACAAGAGGATGCCTGACACTTGCTGGTTTGCCAATCTAGCCAAATCAATGAGCTCCAGGTTCATTGAGAGATCCTGTCTGAAAGTCACCAGACCTGGACCTCTGGCCTCCACATGCACACACATGCACACACACACACACACACATACACACACACATGCACATATATACATGTGAACACTGGCTTGTTTTTTGACTTTCAGGTTTTGAGACAGACTCTTTATGTAGTAGCCCTTCCTGTCTTGGAATTCACTAAGTAGACAAGGCAAAGCTCAAACTCACAGAGGTCTACCTGCCACTGCCTTCCAAGTGCTAAGATTAAAGGTGTGCTCCACCAAATCTGACATGAAAAGGGTGTTTTATTAGCTTGTCCATGGGCCATGGTCACTCATAAGAAAGTCAAAATGAAAGGAACTAAGCCAACAGGTACAGCAACAATGACCACGTATCTCTCCTCCACTCAGTTCTTCCTCCGTTAAATGAGAGGTTGCAGCCGATGGACTCAGGATGACAACCAAGTGTGAGCGTTTAACGCAGCACTTTGAACTGGTTAGCTGTGCAGCTTCGCTTCTTCTACTCTGTCTCTCCAGCATGTCTCCTCAGCTGTAAAAGTAGTCTCAATTACACCTAAGTGTTAGGGCTATAAAGTGAATTAAAGAAAACAGTGAGTGCTCAGACCCTGGCATAAGCCTGGGCCCAAAGAACATTCTCCTTGCCTCTCTGTCTTTATCTCTCAACTACTCATAAACTGGAAGCCCTCCTTTCACCTCTGACTACCTCTGGTTGGCAAGTTCTTAGTAGGGACTTTCCTCTGTGGGACTCTGCCCTTGCGCTATGCTGTGTTGTGTTGTATTGTACTGCCGTATTGTATTGCACTGTACTGTATTATGTTGTATTATGTTTCATTGTATTGTGCTGTACTCTATTGTACTAAACTGTATTATATTGTATTGTGTTGTATTGTACTGTTGTGTTGTATTTTATTTTACTATACTGTATTGTAATGTACTGTATTGTGTCATGTTGTGTCATACTGTATTGTGTTATACTGTATTGTGTTGTATTGTACTGTACTGTGTTGTGTTGTATTGAGAAGGAGAAACTACTGGACTATTGACTGAGAGTAAATTTAGAGACTGTTAAAATAAGCCCATGTTTCAATTCTGGGAATTGTTTTGTTCTGGATCACTGTTTAATAGGCACCACGTGGCTGTCAATGGAAACAGACTCATTCCATTTGTTTGGATTTTTTGGTGTGTGTGTGTACATGCATGTGTACATCTTCTGCAAGTATGGGGGCACGCCGTATGTGGGTGTGCATAGATGTGCATGTGGAAGCCCAAGGCTGATGGATTGTCCTCAGTGGCTCTCCCACCTTGTTAACTGATCGGGAATCTCGCCGATGTGTTTAGTCTTGCTAGGCACTTGCTCTGAGGATGTCTTGTCTCCTCCCCCCAAGGCTGGCATCACGAGTGGACAACCCCACTTATGCAGCATTTATGTGAGTTCAGGGGATCCGGACACTGATCCTTACACTGGGGTAGCAAATGCTCTAACCACTGAGCCACTCTCCCCATCCACTTAGCTATTTTTTTAAAAAAAAAAATTTTTTTTTTCAAAAAGTTTTATTGGAAGTCTCAAGTATTTGAAACAGCCTACTTCACTTGAATAAAGCTTGTCCACCTTTATTAGTCTTCAAAGAACACCATCTGCTTCCAAAGTAAACCAGCATTCTGAACTAGCTTCTCTTGGTCTTTGTTCCCAGTTCCTGTAAGCATTCCCATCAGAATTTGAGGTGATTTTAAGGAAGCTTTTCTTTTTAAAATGCAAACACCACCAAATCTCTAAATCTACATACTCCTTGACATATTTGGTTCATTTCTACCTTTTTTAAAGTTTTAAATACCAAAAACTAATCGGTATAACTTTTATACAAAGTCAAAAAATATAAGATGTACTTCCTGTGTCTTTGATGAAGCATTTAAATGATTGGCTGCTTAGATTCCAGGTTAAACAGAACACTACAAAATTTCTTATTAGTACAAATTCATGGATTGTTCTGCGTACACATGCACTGACCAGTGGCTTCAAAGACATGCTTTAATTATGGAATAGAAGGAAAGGAAAGACTTCCTCAAAGACGTTACAAACTCTTCCACCACAAATACAGTTTGATTTGTGTACTGTAGGGTGTCTATTTTATAATTTTGTATTGCATTACAGACTTCCTTAAGACTTGTTTTTTACAGTGTATGTGAGTGCTTGTGTATATGGGTGCAGTACTGACCGGCCAGAAAAGGGCATCTGATCTGGGGGAGTGGGCAGGTGTTGAAGTGGTGAGCCGCCACCTGGGGGCTGGGAACCAAACGTAGATCCTCTGCAAAGGTAGCAAGTGCACCAAATGCTCGCCCTTCTCCATCTCTCCCGGATTGTTTCTTTATTATTTATTTATTTATTTACTTTTATGTGACAGTTAAGTTGTTCTCTAAAATCATAGTTGCAAAAAAAAAATGGCATCGTTTCCTTGAAACCAGAAGTGTTGAATTTGGAGGCAGCTTCCGGGTTTTAGTGGTGGCAATTACTAGCTGAGCTCTGTAATAGGCAATAGCCTGTAGACGCAGCCTGTGGGCGTTCCCAACACTTACCTATACAGTTCAGAATAAAATAATGAAAGTGTACATCACACTATACTTCGGTGGCCTAATTAGATTAAGATGCATAAATTTAACTTTCATCTAAGCAAATTGTCCATTTGTGATTACAGTTCATTAACACATGGCTTCCACATATCCTCAAGTCCTTCCTCCCATCCCTTGTATCCCCTGTATCCCTTTGGTCTGAGCCTGATTTCCCCACATGTCCCGCATGGGTCTTGGAATGTCTTCCATGCAAGGCAAGGAACACAAATCTGTGAGGGACAACACAGAGCTGACCCTCACCACCACACCCTGGCTCAGTCTCTAAGCCTCTGCAAATCCTATGAGCGCTCCTAATCCTCAGTGTATAAACACATTTTACTAGGCCTGGCCATCCCTCCCCCACCTTCTCGTCTGTTCCACCTGGCCATTTCTCCAGCACCACACCCCTGTGTGGCATCCTGTATCTATCCTCCAATCCTGGCTGCCTCCCACAGCTCTCTGCTCCAACACCTGAATGCCATCCCATCTCCTGGGGTGGGACTTATTCCCCTTATCAGCCAACCCTCCTCCTTTATTACACACAATCCTTTGAACGGAATTCCTGGCAAGATAGAGCAGTGACTGTCAGCTCCAAGCCTGGGGTTTATTGGACAAAGGCACTTTGGGACTGTCTCAGAGACAGGTAAAGGGTGACCAAACAAGAAAGAAGAAGAAAGAACCCCAAACGAAAGAGAAGCAGGTGGCTAAAGAGTTTAGTATGTGACTGGAGGTCAGGGAGAGAGTAGAACAGAGCCAACAGCAGCCAAGAGACAGGGGCGTGGGTGGGGACAGTCAGAACACAGGCCTGAGGTCTATGAAGGAAAACACCAGCCTGGCAGTGTATTAGTGACCCAGCACCACCCTTCCTAAAGATCTACAAAGGCACACGGGCCCTGGAAATTTCTTTCATTCTGGATACTAGAAGCTGAACTGAAAAAGTCCAGAGGGCAATTGCAAAGGCCCCTCAAGTCACAGGGAGGCTCAGGGCTCACTTGGCCACGTAGGGCCCATAGGTGGCACCCCAGCCTCTCAGGGACTATCTGAGGTCAGCAGGAAGGGGACACAAGTCAGAAAAGAAGACAAAGGTGGACGCTGGCTCCAGACCTCTCCCTGCCAACTCTGCATCGTTTCTCTCTGTTTCTGTTACCCTTGAGCAGTGACTGCTGACTGGGAAAGCCATCACCTCCAAGACCCTCTCTGGAAAACTGAACCTCTGTGTGGTGACAACTGTGACCTGTGGACACAGGACGTCAGCTCTTCCGCAGGAAGCCACTCCTGGTCTTGTAGGTGTACGAGGTCCATGGAAGTCCCTGTGTCCAAGGGATCGTGCTCGAGTCACCCAGGATCAGGATCCCTGAACACCACCTCTGTGTGCCCTCCGAGTCCCCAGAAGCTCCAGGATGAAAGTACACCACCCTCTGCTGGCATCTTCCTGGGCACACACAGAGTGTCCCTCCCAGCTGGCTTCAGGGCAGGCCAAGGCTGGCCCTACGATCCATGGGGACATGGAGAAGGAGAGTTCAGGGTACAGTGAGGCTCGGGAGAAGCTGGGCCTGTCCTTCTCCATTGACGCTATCCTGAGGAGGCCGTCAGAGAGAAGAAACACGCCCAGACTGCAAAGCGTAGGAGAAGAGGACTCCAGGCAGACAGCAACCCCAGGTTCAAAGCCAGAGAGGCCCCCACAGGATCAGTCCCAAGGTAAGTGACTTCTGGTCATTCGCTTTGTCCCGAGGGCTCTGGGGAGGTTCTGGCAGTTCTCATCAACAAAACAAGGAGCTGTGACATCCAAAGTGAAAGTAGGTCTAGGCCAGATGCTTTTTTAGGATTTTCAGTCTGAATCAGAACCGTGCTCTTCAGAGCGCAGAAGCCCGTTGGCTCTGCCGATTGAAACATGCAGGGCCATAGAGCAGACTCTTGTTGACCAGGCTATGACCAGGAACTGTCAGTCACATTCACCCTGCACGGATGAAGTGGGAGGCACCGTCCTTTCATCTGGGCAGAAATTACGGCAACTGGGGCTGATAAAGCGGTGGACAATGTCACCAAGTTACAAAACTAGAAGCCACAAGCTGAACTCAGGCCCTGGCACACCCATACATTCTCCCCACGGGCTGAGCTCAGTTTGCATCAGCTTGCATGGCTTCTAGTAGATCAAGCTTTGCCAGGCCCTGCCCTCATAGATTCCCCATACCAAGTCTGTAGCTTCCCAAGGACACACACCTACAAAAATGACCAGATAGTTTTCAGCTTTTCTTCAAGCCAGCACTCACTCAGGGCAGTGGATACCCCTTGCTGTGGAATCTGGGATGGCAGAGGGTGTCCCCAACCTGTCTTTGCCTACTGTGTGACTTTAGGGACGTTTCTGTTCTCTCTGATCTCAGCTTTACTTTGTGAAGCAGCTCAGGGAATCAGAGTGAGGCATGTTAGTGCTTATGAAGTCTCAAAGGCCATTTGGTCAGGAGTCTGTGAGCCTGGAGTATCTCACACCAGACCCTGGTCTTTCCTGTTTTCACCCCTTTCATCTAAGAAAATGCTAGGCAGGAAGCTCAGGGGGTCCTTGATGGCATTGCCTCCCTACCCAGAGTCCCACCCCCAGCCAGTCTCCCACAGAGATTCCTTAGAGCAGCTGTGCTTAGCTGGGGGAGATGCTGCCACCCTCAGCAGGGGAGGTGGCTGGTTTCCTCATAGAAAAGGGCTTGGGCTCAGCTTTCAGAAGTTCGCTGGTATTCCAGTCAATTAAGGATTCACAGAAGCCAGCTCACTGGGAGTTTTAACCTGGGTCTCATCTGCTGCAGCTGTATAAATGAATGCCACCTTCCCCATCACAGAGAGAGAGGAGAGTGCCCCTGCTACTGATAGCTAAAAGAGACGGCTCTTTTAAACCTCCATTGAAGATTCTAGTATGTTCCATTTGTATGTTCCTGCTAAGCCCAGAGCAGACACCAGACAGTGCTGGCCAAAATGACAGCCACAGCTCGTACTATCTCCCTTGTTCTAGTTCATGGTCATATATGTGAGACCCACTTTAGAGAAGGCAAACCTAAAAAAGGAGAGAAATCACCTACAAAAACTGCATAAGCAATTAGTACTAGCCCTGAGCCCTGGAGGCCTATGGCCATGCAAGGGAAGTTATTTATGGTCCTAGTTTAAAGTTTTCCCAACCCTTGGAGCAGGTCCCTCTGGCAGTTCATGACTTTGGCTACTCACAGATGCAAAGCCACCATGTCAATAGTTCTGGAGTTACTGCTTGCTACCCTAGCTCCCTATGGTGTCGATAGTGCTGATAATTGGTAGTGGTCAGGACAGAAGGATCTCTCTTCACATGCGTGCATTTGAGCAAACACACAAAGTAAAGATGAAGAAGAGTGAAGCAGACATAGGGCAAACGGGCAGCAATGTGGCAGCAAGTACAAAGGTGGCTGTGGACGTCTGGGATGTGCTGGGTATGCAGGGCTGGGTGCGCAGGGAAGGGACCCAAGATCACTGACTACTAAGCCCAGACACGGTGTCAGTGCACAGGAGGACTTTTAGCAATCGCTTCCTCAATCTGGGCCTCAGTTTCCTCAAAGGTAACATGAAAGAGCAGAGAGAGATCTCCGTACAGTTCCTCCCAGCTCTGACGTGCTGTTGGAAAGCCCCAAAGAAGGCCATGGGAGTGGTTTTAGACTTCCTCTAAGCAGAAAGTCCAGTCACAATGCCATGTGGGAAGGAGCAAGGTGGTTCATTAGGCAGACCCTGTCAACCACCCTTGTCCCTCCCCACCATCTGAGGAGCCCTGGGTACAACTCAGGATGTGGTGGCTAGCCAATGCCCTTAAGCTTCTCGTGTGCTGTCCCTCCTCCGGGACAGAACCCCCCCCCGTCCCCCCCAGAAGGGCAGCATCCAAGGACAGCAGCAAAGCTTCAGGCCCCTTGCTGTTCCATTTTACATGTATAGGACTCCATGGAGTGGCTGGTAGACTTAACCTCCAGTGATGGTTTGAATCTGAACCCTCCCCCACAGGTTCATGTTTTGAATGCTTGTTTCCCGCTAGTGACACTGTTTGAGAAACTATGGACCTTTTGTAGAGAAGGCCTGCCCGGAAGAAGGATGCCACTAAGTGGGTCTCTGAAGATATATCTTGGTCCCAAGGTCCTCTTTCACTCTGTACCTAGCCTACGATGAAGTGACCAGCCCCTGATGTCACATACCCTGGGCTGCTCCACCATAACCTCCCCCCTGCCATGGTGCACTACAGACCTCTGAAACTCTGAAACTCTGATGGATTTTTCCTGTCCAGTTTTATAGTCACAGCTCCATGCAAATAACCAACCCCACCCCTACTGCCACCATGTAAGAAGCCTGGATTAGCTGTGCCATTTCAGGACCCATGTCTAAGACACCAGCTCAAGGCGAGGCCACAAATCTGTACTCTAGAAGCTCCACATGAATCTGGTGTCCAGGGTATTTGAGGAGGCTGGGACTCCAGAGGTAAAGTGGGCTGTTCAGATCTAAAGTTCATAAAGAGTCAGAACTGGACCTGTCACCCAGGCTCCCAGGCCAATCCAGGGTGTTGCCCACAGCTTGAATTTCTTAGCAAGGTCTAAGGTCCTTTGCCTTTGTGACCCTCACAGTGAAGGGGTTGAACCCTCTCAGATCTCAAATCAGTAGAAACCTGTGAAAGGATATTGGACTCAACCACCATTTACTCCTCTTGGGAGAAGCTAGACCTCTGAAACCCATCAAGGGAAAGGCAGTCAGGAAGAAACCTCTCTCAATACTGGAGACTCTGAGCCTGAAAGATGTCATCTCTGCCTAGCCCACTGGTGAACCTCTGAAACTTTAGCCCTAGGGGAAAAGGAAACCTGTGTGGACTACCCAGCCTCTGCAAAATCTTCTTACATCCCTTCCCCTGCTCATGGACTGTTTGTTGGCTTCCTTGGTGAAGAAGCACTAAGTGTGTTCCCTGGGCAGGAAGGCAACGAAGAAGGTAAAGAGGAATAAAACCAGAGGCAGTGAATGTCCACATATAGCAAACTTTGGCCAATCACAAAGATAGTTCCTGCCAGATTCACCGTGGAGCAGGGCCAACTTGTGCCTATCTTGTCTGATGGAGCTGGCTAGGGCAGAGTCATATTCTGGGTGTTTGAGGAATGTCCTACAGCAAGGGTCAGCAAGATTTTTTTTCCTGTAAAGGATAATACTGTAATTCTAAGCTTTAATGATGGTCTCTGTCACAATTACTCTACCATGGAGGTTGAAAACACCGACAGACAATGTGAAAAGCATAGATATATTTGTGCTCTAATAAAATTTTATTTTCAAAAAGAAGGCAGTAGGTCCATTGGTCCTCATGCTCTGGCTGCTCAGCCTCTGCCTCTGCCTCTTTGCTGGGCTATTCAAAGTCCACACACCTGACCTGCTTGTGTCTGCATTCATCTCCATCACTCATTCAGACCTTCTCCTCTATGCAAAGATATGTACTTCTGAACCTTTCCCCCCTTCAGATGCCCTGCATCTCCAGCCTTTGAAAACCATGCCTCCCCATGTTCCTTTCTCCTCCTCCTCTTCCTCTGGTTAGTTCCCTGACCTCTCTCCTGTCTGTGAGTGCTTCTGACAGCCTGAATAATCACAGGAGTCCTACCTTCCTCCCACTTGTGTGTATTTGTCTGTGTGTGTTTGTGTTTATACATGTGTGCAGGTGTGTGTGTGTGTGTGTGTGCATGTGTTTATGCATGTGTGCATGTGTTTGTGTGTGTGTGCTTATGCATGTATGAGGGGATAGACAGAGACGGAGAGTCTCTCCTTCTCTTCTGAAGGACACCAGTCATTGGATTCATGTCTACCATATCCCCAGAGTGATCATATCTTGAGTCTTAACTATTATATTTACAGACTATTTCCAAATAAAATCCCATTCATTGTTAAGAGGAGTCTGAATTTGTGCATATCTTTGGGGGCAGGATCACAAGGCTCACAGGTATCTCACTGCTTCCCCCTTTATCTTACGCTCCTTCCTTTTTCTCTTCCTGTTGCCAGAGGCTGCTCATTCATTTCCCAGCCACCCAGACCAGAGATAATCACACAGAAACTGCTTGACCTATTACCTCATACTTCTTATTGACTACCTCTTATATCTTAAATTAACCCATTTCTATTAATCTGCGTGTTGCTACATGGTTGTGGCTTATTGGTAAGGTTCCATCTGGCATTTGACATCTGTCTTTTATAGGAGCTACATGGCTTCTCCTTGACTCTGCCTGCTCGCTTTTCCTCTCTCTGCTTAAATTCCTGCCTTGCCCTATTCTGCACTGCAATAGGCCACCCCAAAGCAGATTCTTTATTAACCAATGGTATTCACAGCATACAGAGGGGAATCCCACATCACCTCCCTTTTCTGTCTAAATAAAAGGGAAGGTTTTAACCTTAACATAGTAAAATTACATGTAACAAAACAGGTAACAAGCAAGAATTACATTTACAATATTTATATCTATTTTATCTTTTATTATAACTAAGGAAAACTATAATTATAACTATCTATTCTTCAAATCCAGAAGAATATAATATTACCTAAGTTAACAGGAAGTACATTGTAAGCAACTTCCAAAACTCTAGAATTGACAGAGACATCTCGCTGCCTGAATAGTCACCCAAGTTTTTCTGTAACGGAGCATCCATCTTCAGCCTACAAGCTCAAGTATCTGGCAGATGTTTCC